TCCAGGGGGAAAAGCTGGGAGTGGGAATTGGGTGCTAAACTTCCCCCTGCCAGCACAAGTGACCTCAAATTTCCCAGGGAGACCTAAATTCCTTTGGGGAAAAGCCACGGGAAAGCTGTGTCACCCAGCCCAGCTCTGAAGCTGGGATGGGATGGGGAGAAGGAGATGGGATGTCGGAGAGTGATTTTGGAGGGAGAGGCAAACATGGGCTGGGGGAGCTAATTTGGGGTGGGAGGGGCTATTGCAGGTGTGAGGAGTTTTTGGGGGCCAAGATGTGGTGCCTGGGAAAGTGCTGGTGGGAGGATGTTGCTGGCATGCTGGAGGGAGGAAGCTGGAATCATGGAGTAGTAGAATGGTTTGGGTTGGAAGGGGACCTTGAAGGTCATCTAGTTGTTGGAGGGATGATGCTGCTGGGATAATGCTGGGATGATGACTCTGGGAGGATGTTGGTGGGATGATGCTGGGATGATGTTGGTGGTGTGATGTTGGGATGATGACTCTGGGATGATGACTCTGGGATGATGTTGCTGGGATGATGACTCTGGGATGATGTTGCTGGGATGATGCTGGGATGATGCTGGTGGAATGACACTGGGGAGATGCTGCTGGGACGCTGTTGCTGGGAGGATGTTGGGATGCTGTTGCTGGGATGCAGCTGCTGGGATGCTTCTGGGATGCAGCTGCCAGGATGATGTTGGGATGCAGCTGCCGGGATGCTGCTGGGATGCAGCTGCCAGGATGATGTTGGGATGCTGCTGGGATGCAGCTGCTGGGATGCTGCTGGGATGATGCTGGGATGCTGTTGGGATGCAGCTGCCAAGATGATGTTGGGATGCTGCTGGGATGATTTTGGGATGCTGCTGGGATGCAGCTGCCGGGATGCTGCTGGGACGCAGCTGGCATGCAGCTGCCGGGATGCTGCTGCCGTGACACTCCTGGGGACTGGGGGAGCCGCCTGGGGACACCTGACAGGACCCAGGGGTTCTGCACTTGGCAGGGGCCGATAAGCCGAGCGAGGCAGAGAAACGAGACCCGACCCGGCCCCGCGGCCCCGCCCTGGGCCTGGCCAAGCCCAAGATGTTGGTGATCAGCGGCGGGGACGGCTACGAGGATTTCCGCCTGACCAGCAGCAGCGAGACCGTGGGGCGGGACGACAGCACCAACCACCTCCTCCTGTGGAGAGCGTGAACAGCCACGGCCCCCCCGGGCCGCCCCGCCCAGGAAGGGGAGCGCTGCCCCCCCTGCGTGCAGAGAGGGGGGTCCCGGCCCCCGTCCCCAGCGCCCCCCCGCCCCGGCACCTCTCATCTCCAACCCGGCTGCTCTCTGTGTGCTCGGGGTTGGGGGGGACGAGCCCCGCTCCCCCCGCCGTCCCCCCAGCCACTGCACTGGACTCGGGGTGGGGGGGGACACTCACCGCTTGGGGAGCATCCAGGACATTCGGGGGGGAGGGGGGGGTGCGGGTTCGTGTCCTTGGGATCACGGAGCGTCCCCGGGGCCCGGCTGGAGGATGTGCCCGGAACATGCCTTGCTCTCCGGTTTTGTGTGTGCCTGCTTCACGGGGAGGGGGGGCCTGGCACTGTCACCCCCCCACCCCCGGCCCCCGGGACCCCCGGCCACGCCACGGGACCACCCCAGGGACAATCTGGGCGCCGTGTCCCCCCCGGCCCGGGGCCTCCCGCTCCCCCGCCTGCTCCATCGCCAGCACCCAGATAGCTCTGTTTGTTTGTTTGTTTGTTTTAAATATATATATATTATATATATAGAAACATCCTTATTTATTTGGGGCGGTCTGGGGGGGGGGACTGGTGCATCCTGACATCGCTGTGGGTCCCTCTGCTCCGGAGTTGAGGGATTCAAACTTCCTGGAGAGCTGGACCCCCCTGGTGGAGCTGGATCTTGGGTGTTGGTGGAGGGGGGAGAGCTGGTGGAGGGGAAGGGAAAAGGAAATTGGGGGTTCCTCCTCCCCCTGTTCTCTGTGATTCCCAATGGGATTTCGCAGCCTGGGCAGGGGGATGAAGGCACTGCTGCATCTCCTGGATGAGGACAAGCATCTTCACATTCCCCACCGAGGGTGGCCCTAAACTGGGTGTGGGGACCCTAAAAATGAGACTTTCTGGACAAACCCTCCCCCATTTGCCCTTTTTTCCTCCCCATTTTCCTGCTTTCACCTCAGGGTCCAGGTGAGACCGGTGCTCCCAGACCGGGACACCCTGTTGTCCCCATGGGAGAGGTGACAACAACGGTGGCAGGGATGAACCGGGTGGGTGAGTGAGTGACGGGAATGCTGCCGTCCCACATGGAGCCATCAGGGGGGTGGGGGTGGGGATGTGCTATAAATTGGGATGATAAGGATATTTTGGGAAGGTTGGGACGGGATTTCAGTCACGTGGAGGCTCTTTGTCATTAAAGGTCACCCGTGTCAGAGTGAACCCGGCGTGGTCTTGTCCTTCCCTCGAGGTGGGGTGACAGGAACAGGGTGAGGAGCTCCCCCCGCCCACTGGCGTCACTGGGAATGCCACCCACTGGTGCCACGTGGGATGAAGAAACCCTTCCCACTGGTGGGGTGCAGCTGTTCCGTCCTGGATAACCCCAAGGGGGATGCTGGGGGAGGGAATCCCTCCCTTGTGCCACAGAGCACTGGGATGTGTCCCACTCCCTGGCTGGACAAACAGGGGACAGCAGGTCCTGGGGAGCACTGGGAGGTGGAGGGATCACCAGGCCCAACTTCGACCGGGGTGTCCCCAGTGTGGGAAAACTGTTCTCTAGGGAAGAGGGTGAGGCCAAGATTCCATGTACTGTAGGAAAGCTGGGTGCAGCACCCATGGATTGCTTTTTCCCCCCGATTTCCCTGCTTTTTCCCCCCGATTTCCCTGCTATTTTCCCCCGATTTCCTTGATTCCCTCCCCCAATTTCCGTGCTTCCCCCTCTGATTTCTCTCCTTTCCCCCCCTGATTTCTCTGCTTTTCCCCCCCTCCTGATTTCCCTGCTTCCCCTCCCGATTTCCCTGCTTTCCCCCCCCGCCAATTTCCTTGCTTTTTTCCCCCGATTCTCCTGCTTTCACCCCAAGATCCAGGTGAGCCCAGTGCTCCCAGAGCAGAGCACCCTGCCATCCCCATGGGAGAGGTGACAACCACGGGGATGAACCGAGGTGTCCCCAACCCCATAAGGGGACGGAAAAAAAAAATCCTTATTTTTGTTTTTTAAAATCCCTTCTGGGAAGGCAAAAATCCCCCCGATCCGATTCCTCGCGTTTTCCCCCCAAAACCCCAAGGAGGGCGGGATAAAGCGCAACATTCCCAAATTCCCGCAGTTCCCAGGAGGCGGCGCTCTCGCGGCGCTGGGATAGAGGGCGTGGCGAACGGCAAGGGGGCGGGGTGTAGCGCGTGACGTCACGGAAAGGGGCGTGTCCTGCGGTAATTAGCGCGCCCTCGGTTCATTCATAAGGAGGAGGCGCGACCAACGGGGCGGCCCCGGGGGGAGCCCGGGGGGCTCCGCGGCGGGGCAGGTAAGGGGCACCCCCGGCCCACGGACCCCCCCTCTGCCCGGGGGGGCTCGTTCCGAGCCGGAGGGCTCGGGGTCCTTCGCCTTAACAGGGTTAATTCCCCCTTGGAGCGATCTGGGAATGCGGTTGCTGCAGCTTTGCGTTGTGCGACGGAGCGGGGGGTGCTGGTTTTTGGGGTGCCAGACCCCCCGATTTGCGGTAAAAAAGGGTGGAGGGGTGTTGCCTTGGGTTTGTCGCTAAGCAGGGCACGGGGGGAGCTTGGAGTGGGGGCGGTGGGGACCCCCCGGCGGGGCCGGGAGGCTCCGGCTGCGGCAGCGCCGAAGTAGGTTAAAATAGAGGGTGGAGAGGGGGAAAAGTAGGTTAAGGAAAACTCGGCAGTGGCTGCCTGGGAAGAGGGATAGGGATTGGGAATCGTGGCGGGTCTTTTTTGCTGCCGGGAGCTGGAAAATCCCAGGGCTTGCAGCCAAAAAGCCCTGCGGGAGCCGGGATGCTGCGGTGAGGGGCTGCCCCCCGAAACTGCGCTGGGGTGAGAGGCTGCCCCCCAAAAATTGGGCTGGAATGAGGGGCTGCCCCCCAAAAATTGGGCTGGAATGAGGGGCTGCCCCCCAAAATTGGGCTGTGATGAGGGGCTGCACCCCAAAATTGGGATGGAACGTGCCGCTGCCCGGGTTTGGCGGGATCCCAGCGCTGCCTCTGGGATCAGTGGATTTTAATGCTGGATATTTGTGGCGGTTCCGCTGTTCCCACAGCTCCGAGGGGGCCCCGGGGGAGGCGACAGCGCCGAGTTTCGCTCCATCTGCCGGACAATCCCCTCCTTGTCCCGCGCTGCCTCCAAGAGCTGCTCCCCGAAGTTTTTCCGAACAGTTGCTCCTTTTTAGCTCCGTTTATCTGCAGGAGCCATCGGCTGAAACCCTGTTCCCGCACAGGGGGGGAAACCCAGGAATCCCAGTGGGCAGCCTTGGATTACAGGCTCTATTAAAGCAGGAATGGGAATAAAAGGTTTCTGTGACCCAGAGGGATTTTGAGGGAGGGTTCCAAAACCAAGTCACCTTTCCTGCTGCGTTTGCATCAATGCATCAGCCAGGTGGGGCGTGGGGGTGCTGGAGGTCCCCAAAAAGCAGATCTGGCCCCGATGGGGTTATTTTTTTGTTTCCCGTGGTTTTTAGAGGGACAAATTATGTTGGATTTAGGAGTTTCAGGGCTTCTTGCTGCTGTGCCAGGGCAGCCAGGCATCCCATGATCCTGCATCCCACATCCCCACCTGGGATGGCCCCTGGAGGCCTCCAAAACCGGGTGATGAGCCCTGGCGTGGCCGTGACTCGGCAAAGCTCCAGTGCCAACCAGGAGCTGGCACCCTTTGATCCTTGTGCCTCCTACATCCCTACTGGTCACCTAAGGGATATCCTTAATCCCTGGATTAAACCTGGCTTCAGATCTGCTTTACCTGGGGCCAACCCTCTTCCTGGTGGGGTTTAAATCCCTTTGTGGGCATCCGGAATTCTCAGGGGAGCCGGGATGCTCCGGCAGCCTGGAGTGTGCCAGCCTGTGGCATCGTTCCCGAGGTGCTTGAACCCCACAGCCCCAGAGGATTAAAATGCTTCACATTAGGCTTGAACTCGAGTTTTACTAGTGCTGGCTTACAGTTTTTCTCCCTCTGTGCTTGAGGGGCACATCCCAAATGCCGGGGGGATTCCAGAGGTGGGCTGGTTGGCTCCATGCTGGCATCTGATAGGGGGAGGAACTGGAGCACAGAGGATGCTCATATTGGGTTGTCCCAACCCACATCTCATAAATACCTGGCTCAGCGCCCCCAGTACCCCCTCTCATGTTTAATGAGCTGCACCTCAGGCCACTAATTAGTACAAACTCGTCAGACAGAGGCTGTACCGAGGCTCCCAAGGACCGTGACGACCGGGGGAGTTTCCATGCGGGCGGCAGGATTTCCATGTGGAACCTGGATCCGGGTTTGGGTTGTTGGTTGTGTTTTTACTTCCTCCCCCCCATCCCCTGTGCTCTCAGCTTAGATTTTAATTTTATATTTTCTTGTGGGAAACACCTTTTGTTCCACTCCAGTTTGTGTTTAAATATATATTTATTTCCTTTGTAGTGACTTCATTTCCTTGTGGCAGGTGCACAAGGATTTCCTCCGGAGCAGGGAAAACCTTCCTTTAACTTTATTTAGTGTCATCTGCTCCTTGCATGGGTGGTGTGACTCCATTGCAGGGGTTGGTCCCTCTCCAGTTTGGGATGGAGTTGGGATCTGATGATACCAGGCATCCCATAAATCCTCCAATAAAGCTTTTTTGGGGGATGGTGCAGGGATATTTAGGCAGATGCCTTAGAGCATCCCAGTGGGGGGAAATAGGGCCCCCAAATTGCTTCTCCACTGGGATTTTCCCTGGATGATGACCCCCCCCGTGCTCCCCCTTGGGCAGGTGTCCCCTGGTGATGAAGAGGAGCGGGATGCGCTGGTGGCTCGTCACCGTCCTGGGGGTGAGTATGGCCTGGTCCATCCATTCCCAGCCCATCCATTCCCATCCCATCCTGGTGCTTCTCTGCCTTTGGCACCTCTGATGCTCAAACACCACCCCACAGCCACAGCAGGGCATCCCAAAACACTTCCCACCTGGAAACTTGCAGCACTTGGGGAGATGCTCAGTTTGGATTGAGGGTTTTTTTCCCACACACACATTCTTCCTGATCCTCTTCTTCATCAAATCTTCTTCCAGGGCAGGGATTGATAAGGAAAGTGGCATCTCTGGGGCCACATTTGCATCCATCATGTGATGGGTTGGCATTTGGGATGGGTTTGTGACCATCATATCATTGATGATGATTTGCCCCCATCATGTCACCAGTGAAGGGTTTGCATCTGCCATGGTCCAGGGCACAGTTTTGCCTCCACCACGTGGCCTGTGATGGGTTCATCTCCACCTCATCACCCCTCCTCCTCCCCTGGAGCCACATTCCCCCTGGCACAGGCCTTGGAGCAGCGGCAGAGCTGGACCAGCCGGCGTTGAGCTCTTTGCTTCTCCCACAGGTGCTGAGCAGACTCGTGGGGGCCGAGAGCTGGAATTCCCGGGAGCACAGGACACCGGGATGCCCTCCCGGGGAGGAGCCCAGCGGGGTAAGCCGTGCCCCCTGCGGCACATCCACATGGATCATGATCCAGCCATGGCTCACCCCCCTCTCCCTCACCGCAGGATCCAGGGGGGACGTGCAGAGCTTGTCCCCCCGGCACCTTCTCCCTGGGGGACACACCCTGTGCCTCTCACACCCAGTGCCGGGCCGGGAACAGGATCCTGGTGGCCGCGGGGACAGCGGGAAGTGACAGCCGGTGCGGAGCCTGCCTGCCGGGGTGAGCCCGGGGACGGGACACCGGGAACCCCCGACCCCGCTCCCGGCCGGATCCTGACCCTCCTGCCCTCCCGCCCCGCAGGTTTTACAGCCCCGAAGGGGAGAGGGACCCCCGGGGCCGGTGCCTGCCCTGCGCCGCTGCCACCCGCAGCACCCCGGGGTGCCCAGGTGGGTGCTGGAGCTGCCGGTGCCACCCCGGGTTCGGGGGGGACGGCAGAGCTTGTGTTCGCCCCTGGGACGCCGCAGGATGTGCCCCCCTTGGGATGAGCAGTGAAGTCCTGCCGGAATGTGGCAGCTGGGAACGGCTTCTGCTTCCCTGGGCTCCAGCTGCAGCAGGGCTCCTGGGAAAACGGGATTGAATCCCAGGAAAGCCGCTCCCTGAGGCTGATCCTGTGCCTCCCCCCCCAGGCCGGCGGCGGGTCCGCAGCCCCGAAACGCCGGGACGGGCACTGGGAACCAACGGGACACGGGTGACCCCGAGGGGAGAGGAAGAGGAGGAGGCGGCGGCAGCGCAGGCCGCCGTGCTGACCATCGTCCCGGTCTTCTGTGCCATGGGATTGCTGGGAATCCTGGTGTGCAACCTGCTGAAGAAGAAGGGGTACCACTGCACCGCCAGCAAGGAACCCCAGCCCGGTGGCACCGGTGAGCCTCAGCTGTGCCGTGCCACCGTCCAGTGATCCCACATCCAGCCCCCCCCACATCCAGCCCCCCTCACATCCAGCCCCCCCACACCCACCTCACCTCAGCCCATCCCTGCAGCTCCTGGTCCTCGTTGTCCCAGGGCATCCTGCTCGTTGGTCCTCGTTGTCCCAGGGCATCCTGCTCGTTTCATCCTGCTCTTTTTGGGGTGCTTTATCCCCCATCACCGAGTCCTGTCCCCGCCCCCCAAA